CAGTTGCCTGAGTGCCAGTCTACACCAGAAAATAAGACAGCTAGCAGTCCCGCTGAGGACCGTAACGGAAAGAGTATGGGCAAGAGCTTGACCAGAAGGTATGGCGGGATGAGCAGACGCAGCGGACGCGTGGACAACGGTCGTAGGGGCTTGATTGTTCATGATGGGTAAAAGAGCGCGGCACAACTAGCACTGAGCACAAGCCTCGGCATGAAAGTACTAGCATAGTTGCCTCGAGCCTCAAGCCATGTGCGCGCGGTCAGGAGATATGACGGGGTGAGCGGGAGGCTCCCGCCGGGAGCAGCGGCCGCATGGATGGGTGTCGCAGCGGCTTGGTTCTGCACGATGCCTACGGACGAGTGACACGGTTAGCAAAACACGAGCCTCATCATGTGAGATAACCTCTTAGAAGGAAGATAACCTTCTATCTGAAGGTGTACTCGACGAAATTGAAAGTTCTATGACGAATTCGAAGGTTCGAAAGTCTAAATTGAAAGTTCTATTAACACGAATTTGAACTTCCTATCGACTTCGGACGAACTTGAATGTTCTATGACGAAGTTGAAAATTCTACTTGTGAATATGATCTTCCCGTGTCGGATTCGTACCTCCAACTTCGCGCGTCCCGACGAAATCGATGGTTCCAAAAACGAACTAGATGTTTTAAAGGTGTAGACTGTGTCTAAGTGCTACGATGAAGAGTACTGCAAGATTCTGAGTTGTTCAAGTTGCGGAATGATTCGCGCCCGCCCAAATATTTCTTTTTGTGCGCGGGTTGACTGTCCCGGATGGCATCATGGCGACATCATGGCGGTGTCATGTCGCCGACGTCCATAGATCGGCCGATGAGTTCACATTGCATGACTCACCCAAGCGCATGGTATCCGACGAGCCAGGTGGAGAGCTCGTGATCGATTGAGACGATGCTAGAAAGTCTTTCATTCTTCTACCAGCAAGCTTGGTGTCTCGCAGGTGGTAAGACAGTTCGATGGCTTTGCGTCAAGGACTCGGAGTATTTCACAATTTCATCGAAGTCAGGAGCTTGAGAGAAGCACAGGATATTCGTAAGCAACTTAGTGGAAGCTAACCTTAGTATGTCCTTGAGAGACCATCGTGGCTGAGATTAGGCATCAGGGATAGATATTGACTGGAGATCAACGGCTGCGGCCACGACTACAGTAGGTCGCGTTAGCCAATAGCTGCGGGGTAGGACTGTTAGTGGGTCCGTGTGCTCTTCATCGTACGGTATGGAGGGATCGGCATGCCTTAAGCTGTATATGATGCAGTGTGAGGAGTTCTCACTGAGAACACACCCCTGTGATTCATTGGGACGTCATTTGATCCCTAGTAACGTCATCACAATGAGGCGTGTTGCGTTGGTGATCGTGTGGATGAGGCAAATTTAGTATTAGCGTTGACTCAAGGCTAACACTAAATTTGTCCTGTCGTTGTCACTTTAGTGGCTTGCCACAGTCACAGCAGGCAAGCATGCAACGCAAACACAGTGGGTCATCTCCCGTGGCGATCTACACTCAGTTGGAATTTTGCGAAAGTTTTCTCTGGAGGATGTGTCATTCCAGCAGATTTTGTGTCTCGTTGAAGCCTAGTCACGAACAAAGCGAGGGAAACTGTTTCAAGGCTTCGTTGCTCATCGTGTCGATATAAGTTCTATCAACTCCAAAAGGCAGCCTGCGGCAAATCAAATATACTGCAGCGTCTTGTTATTCACACAATGTAAGCATACATCCACATCCTCAGTTCCGCACTGTTCAGTGTACTTGAACATCCTTGTCCCAGGGAAGTACCTCCCGCGCGAGGAAGAGAGACGAGACAAATGATCGAAGTATCGCGCGTGGCATCATTCCTAGCAGACGCCGATTGCGATTATAGCTGAGTCTTACAATGGTCACGAATTGACTAAGTCCATTCTCATGAGAACGGCTGTGTTCATCTTCTGTGTGCACCGTTCGATGAAGAGTATATTTGGTAAGCGAACTCTCGCCTATAATCTATGAGGAGCTTCTTGCTGATGTGCATCTGTTTGGTGCACATCGCGGCAAGCGGGACAAGAAACCGTGTACTCCGACACAGCTCTTACGACGGGTTATCCGAAGAAGGGGGAGTGCGTACCCGCACAGCTTCCGAACTAGAATACAGGCGGTGGAGGCCCCTCGATATGTTTAGGAATAAACCAATGTTCAGAGTTAAGGGAGGGCGGAGGTTTGTCGCAGTTGACCCGACTACTTCAAACGTGAGTTTGCTTGAGGAAAATGCATTCTCTGTCTTCCCTCCCCTCTCAGAATGTCGTAGGATTCGTGGAGTATGTGGAAGAATCACCTGGGTTGGCAAATTCAGCAGTGTAGGAGAAGGCTCGGTGGGCATCATTGTTTCTCGCCCAGAGTGTCGTCTCCGAATTACATTGTGTATCGTGATTGATACAATATTCAGTATATGGTCAAACTACCTAAATACTCGTGGAAAGCGTCAATAGATAGTAATGGCAAGCTGCCTTCCGACTCGGAGTCTTTGAGCGTGTCTGAACAAACTGCTCTGAGAAGTGCGAACACAACTTCTGCACTTCAGGCCACACAATGGGGAGCGAGGCAGCATTATTTATATAGCCCATGTATTTGTGAGAGAGGATTGGCAAGGGAAAAAGGTGGGCACGATGATGTTGTCGAAGACTCTCGAAGATGTAAGTGTCAATCACAACGTCGAAAGTCATGATACAGAAAATCGCCCATGTACTTGGGTAGTTATTTCGCCTACATGACATCGATCGCTCCGCTGGCAGGCATAGGTTAAGCGCCCAACGCTTGGTACACGTGCCCCCTTTGCGGGATTATTAAACGGATTATCGGTTTATGATGTTGATAGTAGCTCTATTATAGTTAGTATCACTATCACTTCCTAATGGTTAACTCTGTAGACAACGACACTCTTGAGTTAGCACTGGGAAGACTCGGCCTCGAGTCAAGTGACACCGGCGGTTTCACACCGCGATACGTTTCACGCCATCATCCTCCCCAGTTCCCTACTCGGCTATTCCCATATTGTGACCGGTACTTATATAGGCATTGCTTTCGACGAGGAATGCTACCGCGAGATTTCGATATCGCCTTGATCAGACTGACCAGTATCAACTTATTTGGCAGAACCTCGACCCACATCGTCATCGGTAGTACCGATCCAGTACGTGAGTGTTGCACAAACCTCAAGGGCAGCCGTCTAACACGAATGTAACTCAGAAATCGTATCAATGGATGTCGAACATTGCCAATTAGAATCTGAGGAGCTCCTTGCATGATGCCTCCTCTTGAATGCGACCAACCTACTCAGTTTCTCAACCTCTTACTTACGTTCAAGGCACGAAGAGACAGATCTGGGCGAGCCCTTTATCGTATACAAGCTAGCACAACACGCACGCTAGCAGAGCACGCAGACCCAAAGTCTTAACGAAGTTGGATGTCTAGCAATGTGACCTTCTGTGGATTGGGGATAGTGGGCAATTCGCCTATGGCTTGAGTGTTCGCGATGGTGTGTACCTCGGTGTACAGTTGCTCCATCTCAGCTTTCATCATTTAAGCAGCAATCGCTGCTGTAGTATGTATTTCCCGCGCGTTCTTGTGATACTTCTCCTTGTCATATCGATGATCACCAATTGTTATAGCGTGGATGTCTCGTCTAAGACCAATTCTGCTTATGATGAAGCTACTAAGGACCTGGAGAAATTTTTGGGTTCTCTGAAACTGAAGAAGTCTACTGTGAAAAACGATGTTGCCAGTAAGAAGAATGTTGTCAGCCGATTGAATAACACATTTTCCTTTTCAGATCGTTCGAGGATTCTGAGGGTCATTGAAAGCCATGTAGCTTCATAAAGTCTCATGGTCAATCACTTCGCGATATCGGTTTTTCCCGGATACTATATAATTCTGTTGTTATGTGGGTTCCGATGTATGTCCGAGTTCGCTAAAAGACTTAAAATGTATTATGTTCTATGGTTGTGGAGTTCACTATTGCTCGGTTGTACACGTGTTATCATATGTTAAGATAGTATGATAGCTTGTCATTGATGATCTATTAATGACGAGTATCATGTTCTCTTCTGCTGTGTTTCACTTGTGCTCGAGCCATTAAATCTCAACCGTCTTCTCATAAAGGATGTATTGTCCTTGGGTTCTCTCTTCCCCTTTGTGGCGATAAGGGGCGTTCTGGTATTGGTTCCAGGCCACCAGAACTTGAATCTCGAAGTTATTTCTGTTGCGGCTCGAGGTCGTTTCTGTAAGATTAAATATGATGTCGACTGAGATGAGTGGTACGTTGTCTCGAAACAGCTTCCAATATTTTTCTCTTCGGTGATTTCCATTCGGACCTGTGGTATCTTCTGTTGTCCGCTGTGTTGTTCTGTGGATGATGTATCTCATTCCATCCTCTAGTTACAACCTGTATTGGAGATCAAGTTGTGATTCACAACTCGTCATTCAGTCTTCCTCAGTGTTAATTTTATTCTCGGGATGTCAGTGTGTGTTGTGTTCAATGTTGAACAAAGGTAATCGAGCGCAAAATTGAATATCAGTTGGTCAGCTTTGTCACTGCTTTTGAATACGAGTAGACGAAGTTCGCTGATAGTAATCTGACGCAGATTGTGCGTCAACATATGATGAAGATTTCAGAGCAGAAGTGAGTTGTAA